CTTCCAGAGATGCCTGCGTTAAGACCTATCCTCGGGGAGACTTGTAGGGCTTCCTTGAAATGAGACTTAATGGATCAGAACGTTGGATGATGTGTTGCTGGGTGGTGGTGGAGGGCATCGGGGATGGAGAGAGGGATCAATGCACTGGGACCCGGCACACAGAAGAGTCTCCATGTGGCTGGACTCGGAACCTTGGCTGCACAATAGACTTGCCTGGGGGACTTTTTCTTCAAATATAGATATGCTGGGCTCCGCTCCAGAGCAATTGGAATGTTTTGTAGAGGGGACCAATGTTTCTGTAAAGTCCTCCGGGTTACCCCGCAGTGCATGCAGAGTTTGAAACGGAGCTATGCAGAGAACGCAGGAAGCGGCATCCTTGGCCATGTCCCAGACGGGTAGGTGGGTGAGGAACACTCTCTGTTTTTATGTCGTTACAGCCATATGGCTTCTTACTTTTCTCACCACAGAGGGTGTTATACGGAAAAGAAGTAAATCTTTAAAATTGTATTGGGAGGAGAGAAAAGTATGTTACTAAAGACTGTCAACACAAGAAACATCCAAACCTGCGGAGAGTTTTTACAAGCGTTGATTGGAGCCAAAACTGATGGCAGTTGCCAGGAAGCAAGATGTCTGGTGCTCCAGAGTGTCCGGTTTCTTTTATGCATTTGGAATTAAGGAGGAAAGATAAGGAAGAGGGCTGGAAGGCGGGAGAAAGCAAGGCCTGGTTAGATTACAGGGTAGTTAACAAGATTATGTGCCGTTTTGAGGGTGGTTACACCTTCCAGGGGTCTTCTCTGGCCTCTCAAAGGTGAGTTAGCCTAAGTGCACAGGAACAATGGGCTGGGCAGGCTTAAAAACTAAAGAAGTTCTATTCCTGGAGCATCACTACTACCCCATGACTTGCCCAGTTAGAGATTTATGATCCTATATACTAAAAGCATACTGTGCAAATTGTCCCCTTGACCTGGAGTTCATCCGGGGAGTTTGACCAGGGGACAGGGCTGGCTGGGGGAAGGGAATGAGGCCCTCCCCGGTGGGTGGCGGTGGTGGCAAGCGGCTGGGGGAAGGGTGGTGGCCGACAGCTGCTAGGGACCCTATCAGTGTAGGAATTTTGCGCACTAGGCCTCTAGTTTATTATAACATCCCTTTTCATCCACAAGATGTATCATGTGCCCAGACACTGTGCTTGGTGGTTTATTTTGAGAATATTGCAAATCCATTGAAATCATGAGAGATGTTCTAGGATGTCAGAAATCTACACTTTATATATAAATAAATGACATAAATTTACATATATATATATATATGTATGTAAATTGATTTCAGAGAGGAGGAGAGAGAGAGAAATATCAATGGTGAGAGATCATTGATCATTGATCATTGCCTCCTGCATGCCCCACACTGGGGATCTAGCCTGCAACCAGGGCCCTGACTGGGAATCAAACCATGACTTCCTGGTTCATAGGTCAACATTTAATTAACCACTGAGCCATGCCAGCCCAGCAGAAATCTACACTTCTGAGAACTTACTGCTTTGGTAAGGTAACAAGAGCACACACGCACATCAGTAAAAACCTCTGAGTTGAAGAAAATATATTTTAAAAGGGGGAATACGACACACATGGGTTTTGAAATCTGTGCATTCAGATCACAGCTTGGCCAGCTACTAGCTGTTGTAGACAAGTAACCCTTCCTCCTTGAGCCTCCCATGTTCATCCTTCACCCCACAGGTTTGCTCTGAGATTTGAGTGAAACACGCCCGCACAGCACTTGGTGAGGTGCTTGCCTATCAGGAACAACATGACTCGTATAGAGTGTATACATTTATTAACTTGATTAAACCACATCCCTGAGTATACAGTAAGGTTTGTTCTGGTGGGAGGCGTGCACAGTAGTAGATAGGCAAACGCTGGCATTGCAGAGTCATCCATCCCAGCAGTGAGTTGGGGAAATTGAGACTCTTATTTGCTAGAATTCATCAAGCGCTTTTAATCAAGATCTATAATTAAAAAAAAAAAAAGGCAGAATCCTCTCAGTATTTTGTAGGGACATAGATTTGAACCAAAACAGGCAATAAATATGTTTACACATGCTTGCTTTGGTCACACCGCTCATAAATGTCCTCCTGGTTCTCAGTTTCCTGTGTCTGGATACAAGAGAACTTTTGTTATGCTCCTCTGGTCCATTTCAAGTTCCTTTGAAGGCTCATCTTACACAAGGTGACCTCAGCAATATCTAGTTTCACTATAGTCCCCAGTCTGTGCAAATAGTGTCCCTTCTTGTTGAATAAAATTAGAGAATGCTCCCAGCTTGAACAAAGGTAAAGGGAAGGATGGGGAAATAGGTTTTTATGGGTGCTAGGAAGACTTTTTATCATAACCTATCCAAGCATGTTTAATCTGAACCAGTTACTAACTGGCTGATAAGATTTGAGATAATAGCATTTTTTTTTTTTTTAAAGGCTAACACAGTGGTCAGCAAACTCAGTCAACAGAGCCAAATATCAACAGTACAACGATTGAAATTTCTTTTGAGAGCCAAATTTTTTAAACTTCTTCTAATGCCACTTCTTTAAAAGAGACTCTCCCAGGCTGTGGTATTTTGTGGAAGAGCCACACCCAAGGGGCCAAAGAGCCGCATGTGGCTCGAGAGCTGCAGTTTGCTGACCACGAGGCTAACATATTTTCTCTTTATTCAAAATCACTAGGACTTTTTGTGAAACAACATCTGAAAATTGAATTCATGTGAGTGTCTTAGTAGGATATGTTCTGACTTCTTGGGCCACCAGGAAAATAGTTTATCATGATATATGGAATCTTACTGAGACCAAATAGCCTTTATTTTCACAACTTGAGTCATAAAGTGCATTTGTATTTCTTTCACTGAAAGAATTAAGAATTCAGCTGTAATACTGGAGTTAAAATTGAGACCGCTTCCCAGAACCATGTGAGATGTCTCCACCTAGTGGACAAAATGATGTCATTATATTTCTTTAACCAGTTATTATCAATGGAATGCTTGTTCTCGCAGTAGCTTTAAGATTAATGAAAATCAACTAGAGAAAAAACAAAACAAAACATTTTGGATATTAATCACTGCAGATATAAACAGTAAGAAATAAATCAGAAAACTTAATTTATGTGTTATAAATAAGGCAATCACCAAGGGAATTTCTTATTGCACTTAGAGTTGTTTAATGTAGTCATTCCTGAATGACCAAATCTACATTTCTATTTGTCAAACTATTTCACAAATATTTGTCCATTTGACTATCTACACTGAATGTGAGGATATTTAGTTAAATAGTTGGATTTTACCAGTATATGGGGAAATAAATGGGCTTATATAGAGTAGCTTAGGAAAAATTAGTTTCTGAAAATAAGAATGCTAATTTGAAGGGGAAATCAAAAGATCTGAGTTCTTAACTATTAGATTTTATTTTTTAAAAAAAATGTATTTTTATTGTTGCAAGTATCACAGATGTCCCCCTTTTTTGTTGTTGTTTTTCCCATTGACCTCCTCATCCCTACACCCACTCATCCTGAGCCTTCATCACACTGTTGTCTGTGTCCATGGGCTATGCATATATGCATATAATAAAGTATACAATTTTAATTAAGTGGTTTCTAGTCTACCTTGTTTTGATGTGTTAGACTTATTCACAAATTTATAACTTGTCTGTGCCTCAGTGTTTCTATTTGCAAAATGAAGGCATATTAATACTTACAAAAGATTTACTGGATGGGTGATTATGTGCCTAGCACCGTGGTCGGCAAACTGCGGCTTGCGAGCCACATGCGGCTCTTTGGCCCCTTGAGTGTGGCTCTTTCACAAAATATCACAGCCTGGGCGAGTCTATTTTGAAGAAGTTTAAGTTTAAAAAATTTGACTCTCAAAAGGAATTTCAGTCGTAGTTCTGTTGATAATTGGCTCTGTTGACTAAAGAGTTTGCCGACCACTGTCCCAGCACATTGAGAGATACAGGAGACACAATGATGAACAAAACACAGTCCCTGGTATCAGAGAACACACTCTTTAGAGGAATACATAAAGAAACCATTTCAGGATGAGACAATAACAGTAATATACCCCAGCACATAGCAGCATCAAGGAATAGTAGCCAGCTTGGCCCCAGAAGCAAGTGGAGTTAATAGTCAAGGAAGGCTGCCCAGAGGGGGCCAAACCCTACAGTAAGGATTAAAAGATGAGTGAGAATTAATGAGCCAGGCAGGAGGGTTGAGACTGAGAGGATTCTCCAAATGAGACTACCAAATACGGATTTGTAAGGTGGCATGGGGCATTTGACAAAAACAGGGTTTTGGAGGACTCTTAAAGGAACATGAATGCACAGAGTAGGAACGGAAAGGTACTCTGATCTTGCAAAGAGGGGCAGTAGGAGAAGCCCAGAGGTGTCTCAGAGGACCTGCCCTGGCCGGCTGGCAGTTTGGCTTCCTTTTAGCTGGCTGACAACTGGCACTTTAGTTTAAGCCTTCCAGAGTGAATGTGCTGCTTGTAATGTCAGACTGGTACAACCTCTTCAGAGGAGTACGGTTTTACTACATTTAACAAGCGTATCATGAAGATTCCCATATGGACTCATTAAACACGACTGGTGAAGTGGTTAATGCTGCTGAGTCACCTTTTAAACCAGAGGTGTGGTGAATGGGATGCTGACTTCCAGAATAAAATCCCAAATCCACTGTGGTTCTATCCATAGCTGAATAATAGGCAGTTGCCTTTTACTTTGAAGTTTTGTTTCTGTATTGATAGTGGTGGTGTTTGGGTTTGCTGATTGGTATTAAAAAAACACAAAAGGAGGAGGAGGAGAATTATTGATAATATAAAATCATTACATTTTAAAACTAAGTGTTTGATTTGCAAGAAAATGAATGGTTTATTTTTATATTCAATTCCTTACCTATTTATTTCTGGCATCAAAAGAACCAGTGTCTCCTTGAACTTCAAATGGCCTTAAATGATTACAACTTTTGTCTTCACAGATACAGGCTCGTTCCAAAGGTTTATTTTCCTGAGCAAGTTCACGATGTTGTACGTGCCACGAAGTACTTCATGCAGCCGGAAGTCTTACAGAAGTACTCGGTGGACCCAGGCAGAATTGGCGTTTCTGGCGACAGCGCTGGTGGGAATTTGGCCGCTGCCCTGGGCCAACAGGTAACAGACTGCTCTGAAGTACTGGCAGAGGGAGGATGCATGGTAACATCCAAAAGACCAACACATTCTCCACTACACATGGCAGAGGCTCAGCCAGGGGTGCTGGCTACTGTGTGGCCAGGTTACTCAGATGGCTGGACCTGGAGAGCTCAGAGGGTTTTCTTTCTTATTTTTATTTTTATAAAAATGAGTATTAACTATCTGCTGTCTTTTCACATGGAGGTACCTCATTAAAGCAGATATTGATTTTCATTTTCTATTGCCAGTACTATTTTTTTGATAATTTTTTTTATCACATCATTATGTGTTTTAACATTTTTGTTAAAATATCGAAGTGCAGCATGGCCATTGTGTGGCTCAGTGGTTGAGCATCAACCCATGCACCAGGAGGTCACCAGTTCGATTCCTGGTCAGGGCACATGCCCAGGTCAGAGGGCTTTCTGAAGTAAGAGAGGTCACTGAGAGACATGTCATCTCTGAGTCCGTGAGTCCGTGTGCAGTCCCTGAGTACAGTCAATACAACAAGAAGCCAATTTTAGAGCCCACCCCTCCCCCCCTCTCCCCCTCGCTCCTCAGCGGATGCATGGAAGTTAAGGATCTCCTGCTTCTTTTCCATGTTGGACTTTTAAAGGTAGAAAATTAAAATTTTTTTTCTTAAATTCTGTACAGCCAGCATGGATCAGTGGTTGAGTGTTAATCTACTACTATAAACCAGGAGGTCACTTTTCAATTCCCAGACAGGGCACAGGCCCTGGTTGCAGGCCGGATCCCCATTGTGGGGAGTGCAGGAGGCAACCAATCATTGATTCTCTCTCATCATTAATGTTTCTATCTCTCTTCCTCTTCCTGTCAGAAATCAATAGAAATATATTTTTAAAAACTTAAAAATGTTTTTCCTTAAATTCCAATTGTTAAGATTGTTTCCTTACAACTTAGAGCCAATTAATAAGTGTCTCTTCTCCTTAAGAAGCCATTGCTTTTTGGGCCTTGCAGGGAATACAAAACTAAATAAGGTTCACACATTACCCATCCACAACACCCAGTAAGGATGTGCTGAGTGCCAGAGGATAGATACAAGTATGATAACATGTTAATGCTCTGGCATCTAGCAATCTGGAGAAGGGCTGTGCATAGATTAAACAGGAATCCAGAGATGAAACTTAATTTTGAAAGGCATATTGGGGGAGGCAGAGGAGCTTGGCTGAAGAAACCAAGTTCTCCTTGTCTCAGGACCCCTTGCTTTTTATTAACACAATTTGTCCTAAGGCAAGGTGGAGATATACACTTCAAAGTGGGGTAGGGTTTTGTACAGAATCCATTGTCAGAATGGGGAATTGCCTTTGGCTGTTCAGGTGTTTGGCCAACAGGTGGCGATAGCATGTAGATTAAGATGCCCTGAGCTGTTTGGCAGTAAACAACCATCCTTTTCAGGTTTGGGGAAATGCCTTTAGCCATTCCAGCAGGCAATAATAACATATGTGACTCAGCCCTTGTTGAGTCCCCAAGTCATGTCAATCTTTTGATGATTATGACATGTTGGAATTTGCTTCCAGCAACATGTTAATGAGGGTTTAAAGATGTAAGAGATCATGTACCTTTGCAGTTTTCATTCAAAATTATGAGTTGCAAAAGTCATGCCTTTGTTGTTCAGTGTCCAGCAGCTTGATCAGGTGGTAGTGGTGGCTGGTGATTTATTTATTTTTTTAAACTACATTAATACCATGCTTGCTAGAAATTTAACAACTGTATTCTTTTGGCTGATTCCAAGTAACACATTTTATATGTACCTATAATAATAAAAGCCTAAGCAACCATCAAAACCGAATGAATGGACGACCAAACAGGCCAGCAGGTGGGGTGACCAGGCTGGCAGAGGGTTAGTGAGGGGCAACCAAATGATTGAGCAGCAGGCTGTGTGGGGCTACCAGACCGGAAGGGGGTTAGTGAGGGATGACCAAATGACTGAACATCTGGCTGTATGGGGAGACTAGGTCTGCAGAGGGGGCAATTGGGGGCAACCAGGCTGGAGGAGGGGGGGGCAAAGGAACAACCAGACCAGCAGAGAGGGGCAGCGAGGGGTGACTAGGCTGGCAGAGGGGGTCAGTTAGGGGTGACCAGGACACCAGGGGGGCAGTTTTGGTGACCAGGATGGTGGGGAGGGCAGTTGGGGGTGACTAGGCCTGGGGAGTGGGGCGGTAATGGGTGACCAGGCCAGCATAAGGAGGGGGCAGTTAGGGGCTACTAGGCCAATAGGGGGGGGCACTTAGGGGTGACTAGACCGACCATCAGGGGGTGGCAGTTAGGGGTGATCAGGCAGGCAGGCAGGTAAGCAGTTAGGAGCCAGTGGTTCCAGATTGTGATAAGGATGTCCGACTGCCCCCTAAACCAACAGTCAGACTTCCCCCGAGGGGTCCCAGATTGGAGAGCATGCAGGCTGGGCTGAGGGGACCCTTTACCCCCAGGCATGAGTTTCATGCACTGGGCATCTAGTATATATATATAATTTATATCAGAGAGGAAGGGAGAGGGAGAGAGAGATAGAAACATCAATGATGAAATAGAATCATCAATCAGCTGTCTCCTGCACCTTCCACTGGGGATCGAGCCTTCAACCTGGGCATGTGTCCTGACCAGGAATCAAACCGTGAACTCCTGGTTCATACATAGGTTGATGCTCAACCACTGAGCTATGCTGGCAGGGCCCAAATAACTCCTTTTTAAGGTGTGGTTTCTGTAGAAGGAAGCATGCAAAATAAAGTAATATGTTTGCTTCTTCTCTCCTCCAGTTTAGTCAAGATGCCAACTTGAAAAACAAGCTCAAAGTGCAAGCTTTAATTTATCCAGTCCTCCAACCTTTGGATTTTAACACACCCTCCTATCAGCAAAATGTGAACACCCCGATCCTGCCCCGTTACGTCATGGTGAAGTACTGGCTGGACTACTTCAAAGGCAACTATGACTTTATCCAGGCCATGATCGTGAACAACCACACCTCGCTTGATGTGGAAGAGGCTGCTGCCCTCAGGGCCCGTCTAGACTGGAAGTCCCTCTTGCCTGAGTCCATCACCAAGAACTACCAGCCTGTTGTGCAGGCCACCGGCAACGCCAGGATTGTGCAGGAGATCCCTCAGCTGCTAGATGCCCGTGCTGCCCCACTCATCGCCGACCAGGAGGTCCTGCGGAACCTCCCCAAGACCTATATTCTCACCTGTGAGCACGACGTGCTCAGAGACGACGGGATCATGTACGCAAAGCGCTTGGAGCGCGCGGGTGTGGAGGTGACCCTCGACCACTTCGAGGACGGCTTCCACGGGTGCATGATTTTCACCAGCTGGCCCACCAACTTCTCCGTGGGCATCCGGACTAGGGATAGCTACCTCAGGTGGCTGGATCAAAACCTGTGAAGGAGGAGAGCTTCCGGAATGCTTGTGCCCTTCCTGACCTCCTGCTTTGGAAAAGCCTGTACTTTCGCGTCGACTCGTTTCGCCCTGTTCCCTGTGAATTATGGAATCTCTACTCCCTGCTTTATGTTAATTTAATTTTTTAAAAATGCGTTTGACTAACTAGGCATCTACATCTGGTTCTCCAGGTGGCTCAGTCTCTCTGTTCTTGTTTTAGCCAAACTGCTGTGGATACCCATTGCTGCAGAGAGCAGGACTGGGAGCTGGAAATAGCTGTGGGTCCTGCCTTCATCAAGAAGTTCTTTTTTTAGAAGGAACAGGCCCACCTCTGGAGGATACAGGAACCTTTAATGAGTTAGGAAAGCGTGGGCTCTTCTTCAGTGTGCTAGCGTTTACTTTGAGTTCAGAGCACTGTTAAACGCGTGTACTTGAAGGTCAGCGCTGGGTACCAAGTGCCCTCTGTCCTTTGTGGATGGATGGTTTTGTTTCCTATGGGAATTTCGGCAAAAGCGCTCTAGCAAGGACAGGTTTCTCAAATGATGTTCTTCCTTTAGAGAGTTAATTTTATAAGATAGCTATCTATAAAGTCCAGTTGGATTATGATGATACTTGAATGTTACTTTCTACCACTATTATTAGAAAATATAAGGCTGCACGCATTAGATGTCTATACATTGTTGATTTGTTGTTGTTGTTGTTGTTATGCCATCTCCTGGGTGGGGGGGACTTTTGGGACCAAATTTATTTAAATTTGGAATAAATTTCTCATTGTAGAACAAGTAAAAACAAACGAACCCACCTATTGTTTTCATAATGAATACGTCTGACATAAATTACCAAGAGTAGTGCATATATATTTGGCATAGTCAGAAAAAAGGATAGGTTTAATATTAGTTACATTTAGGAAAAAACGTCAGGGAATGTCTAGTTCAGTGATCAGCAAACCATATGCGGCTCTTTGGCCCCTTGAGTGTTCTAACGCCACTTCTTCAAAATAGACTCGCCCAGGCCATGGTATTTTGTGGAAGAGCCATACTCAAGAGGCCAAAGAGCCACATGTGGCTCGAGAGCAGTGGTTTGCCGGTTACTGGTCTAGTTTATTCTTGAAAACTCAATCTTCACTCTCATAGCTTTAAAATGGGGCTATTTTGCCAAAACCAGTTTGGCTTGGTGGATAGAGCATTGGTTTGTGAACTAAAATGGGGCTATTTTGGTGTATATATAAATATAATGTATTGTTTATTTTTTTAAGTTATTTAATGTTCATATATGTAGCTAGATTCAAGATTTTTCAGAATAAAGTTGGTAATGGGTATTAAAAATAATATTTTTTAAAAAAACTACCTGAGAATTATATCCACATGTTAATTTGGATATAAAAGGTAAAATAGCTATTAATACTACTACTCATTAGGCCTACGTATTTTGATGTTCTCATGCATATACAAATTAAGGTAATTAGAAATTAGTAAAGTCATCTAAATTGATAGCTTATAGCTTAGGCAAGACACACACTGCTGCTCATTTCTGCTCTCAATGGTCAAAGGAACACTATCTCCTATTCTTTTGGGTGAAGGGCAGACATTGGCACCTGGTGCCTACTTTCTCATCTCCTTCCATCAGGTCTGGAAGTTTTAGTAGCCCGAGTTAAACTTGATGTAAAGCCTTCACTGCCAGTGGGAACATCTTGGCATCACAGGGAGCTCCAATTCGGGTGTGAGTTGAGTACCTCTGCTCTCTTTCCTGCCACGTGTATGTCTCCCCCAGTCCCTGCCTCTTTCGGGGACTTGGGAGAGTAGCAGTCCAGCCAAGTAATGATACAATTTAATAGATTTACCAGCGAGGAAGAAGCAGAACCTTTTACTCATTTGAAAGATGGGCATTTCCCACTTCTGGCAATGAAATAACGAATAAAAATTTGCATAGTTTTTAATTTGTTGTACAAAACAGAAATAAATGCAACAGTGTGTGTATAAAAATCGTCATACCAATTAGTGTACTAATGTACTCAGGCAAGTCACTCGGTCACCTCCGGGCCTCTTCCTGTAAAATCAGAGAATTGATAACTTGATCTATGAGGTTTCTTCAGACTATAAATTCCAACCACTTTTGTAAGGCTGACAAACTGTGTATTGACTTCTTCTACGGTGTTTTTTTGTAGATCATTTATTCCATATACACAGACACATGCTTCATCAAAGCTAGTTTTTCTTAAAAATTAGGATTTTAGTTCTTACTCTCTTACAGCCACCCTCCTTGTTTACTATTATGTGTTGTTGTTGTTGCTGTTTTTACAACCTTTGAGGTTATCTACCTCTAATAAAGCAAAGAACATATAATATATGCACAGACTTCCTTAAAACAGCATCTCCTCCCCCTAGGATTATAAGCCAAATCCGGTAGTAATTGTAGACAGCAGATGATTCCAGGTTTCTCAAGGGATCTCTCAGATGGAAAGGGAGTGAAAGAAAAAGGGGTCAAGCACTGTTTCTGATGAAATACTTGAGTTTCATGAAAGCTTTTTTTATGTGTGATTTGTCTAATGACTTGCACTGTGTCTCGCCTCAGTCCTCGAAATTCTCCTTGTAATCATCACAGTTGTGAATCAGGATACACAAAACCACTAGACACAAGAGAGGCTATGAAGCAACCAAAAATGTGAGCGCTAAGAACTCCTCTGGGGAGCCTACAGACTTTATGTTGAAGGTATTTTGGTTTGGGGTGAGTTCATTTTCTTTTAGGTTTTTTTTTTTTGTTTTTTTTTTTAAGTTTATGCTCTGCAGGTTGATATGTTTTTTTCAATGCTATGGGTTTGTTTTGTTTTCCTATTTTATGAAAAAGTTGCTAACCTTTTTGTAATATCGTTGTTTGTGAAATATGAACATAAATATATGAAGAAAAAAGTCTTGAAGTGTAGCAAAATAATATAGTGAAGCATAAATTAGTCTTCATGTTTTATCATTGATTTTGAGAAGAATTTAAGACTATTATATAATTATCTTGGTGGATAAACTATTTTATGCATGATCTTCTAACCTTTGACTTTTTGCTTATTTCCCATTGCTAAGGGGAAAGGAAGATTTTATGAAGGATTTTAGCAGCACATCTATTTTATAAGATGAAAATCCAGTATGGAGGTAGGAAAGTGTATGTTTTGACTCATGTTTGGAAATAAAATAGCTCCATCTGGTAATGTGCTCTTCGTCTCATTTTCTGGTTCCCAGCTCTCTTTTTGGTTAATGATCACTTACTTAAATTTGTGAGAGAACTTTAGACAAATGGTAGAAAGTGTGCAAAAAAGCCACTATGGGACTTGTCCATATTTATAAGAAATACCCTTTACAATCAACAACTGGAAAAGATGCTGCAAAACGGATTTCATGGATCAAAGACAAATTGCTACATATATATTGTCAAAATAGTATTGATGGCCGATTACTTGTTGTATGGATCTTTGCTTAATATATCGATAATACATGGTTTCCCATAATTTGGAAACTATGGAATGAATGAGATACTTCTGTTACTTGTATGCCACACTGGATTTAAATATTGTGAGGTATGTTTCAGATATCAAACTGTTCTTTCCATCTTTTGTAGTATACTGGATTTTATGAGGGTAGGGAATAACTATTTTTAAATGTTAATGTATATGATGTATACATTGTTTAAATGGTCACACAATAAAATATACAGCTGTTTTTTTCAGAAAGCAAATAAGAAAAGGTTATTAAAATATTTCAAGTAATATTTTAATAATTCAAAGTAATTCAACCAAATTTTAAAGAAAAAAATGGTTTTGATAAAAGGGATAAAGTGAATATTTTCTTTTTTTTAATATATATTTTATTGATTTTTTTACAGAGAGTAAGGGAGGAGGATAGAGAGCTAGAAACATCGATGAGAGAGAAACATCAACAAGCTGCCTCCTGCAACCAATGTACATGCCCTTGACCGGAATTGAACCTAGGACCCTTGAGTCTGCAAGCAGATGCTCTATCCACTGAGCCAAACTGGTTTCGGCATATTTTCTTTTTATCCTTCCACAATTCAAGTGCTTTCTGCATTTTTTATTAACAGATACTGAGGTTTTTCCTTTGTTAAATAAATTGTTGCAAACTGCCCTAAAAAAATGACTTATCTAACATATTCTATAATTGTTCTATAGAAGTCAAATTAATAGTTTGAGAAATTTTTTAAAACACATTTTTATTGATTTCAGAGAAGAAGGGAGAGGGAGAGAAAGAAAGAAAAATCAGTGATGAGAGGGAATCATTGATTGGCTGCCTCTTGCATGACCCCTACTGGAAATCGAGCCAGTATCCCGGGCATGTGTCCTGACCAAGAATTGAGTGACCACCTGGTTCATAGATCAAAGCTCAACCACTGAACCATACCGCCTGGCAAGAGAAATTTTAAACAGTGAAAGCAAGTTCTACTACTTGTAGAATGTTGTCTTCCCTTCTTTCTGTTTTCATTATTTTTAATAGGAAATCAAATTACATTTTCTTTATTCTGGTTAAATTTATGAAGTAAAGAAATAATAAACATGTATTGCTTGATCACAGATTAAAGTTATTTTAAATATTTTACTTTAAAATAAATGATTGACTAAGCTAAGCAGCACACCCTTCCTAATTTCATTTCCACTATGCTTATACACTGAAGTTACTGCCTTCTATACAAAGCCAGTACTTCAGTTTGTGTCCTTAATCCAATTCATTAACATCTCATTCAAGGACTTGATGAAGTACCTCCCCTCTCTCCTGCATCTTTAACTCTCAAGACATTCTTCTGTCTTGTGACCAATAGAAGTTAAAAGTGTGCACCTGTGAATGGGGCCCCTGCCCAAGGTTTAGATTCATTCATTCACTCTACTCATTCCTTCTTCTTTAAAAAAAAAAAAAAAAAAATATATATATATATATATATATATATATATATATATATATATAAATATATATATATATATATATATATATATATATATATATATATATATA